GCGCGCAGCCCCTCTCCCCCACTGCAACGCGGGCCGGGGTCTGCGGAGGGGCGGAGACGGCGGGCGTGGGAGGCTGTGCCGTGGCCGCTTGCCCCTCTCCCCGCGTGTGTCCTGGGTGTGCCCGAGCGAGTGTGTGACGGTGCGCGGGGCAGGCTGGGCGTAATGCGTCGCGGAGTGGCCGTGGGTGGCTCTGGGCGCTCCCGCCCCGCGGCTCTCCCTGGCGCGCGCAGGCAGTTTCCGCGAACTTGGCCCAGTGCCCGCCGGTTCCTGCGTGGGTTCTGTGAGGCCCGGCGGCATCCCCCACCCACACTCACACCTAGAACCGCGAGGGCCTCTTGGAGGAGTCCCTCTCCAGCCAACCGAAGTGCCTCCCGCCAGCCTGGGCCCCTGAGAGTGCTGACATGGGCCGGAGGGCACGCGTGCGCCATCCGTCGGGATTGCCGCCCCTGAGGTGTCGGCAGGGAGGGGCTGGTGCGGGCTCTTGGTCCCTCACACCGGAAGGCGCTGTGTCCTGGAGATTCCCACCTTGGTGCCACCACCACTCTGCTGTCACCAGGAACTTCTGTTCCCATGTGTGCCCTCATATCCCACCCCGGTTCTCTGTGTCCTGGAGATTCCCACCTTCCTGCCACCACCGCTCTGCTGTCACCAGGAACTTCTGTTCCCATGTGTGCCCTCATATCCCACCCCGGTTCTCGAGGGACTGTCTTCCCTCTAGACAAAGAGGTGTTTGGGAACCAGGACCCACCAGCTGCAGGCGGCCAGGCCCTGCCCAACTGGGAATGGGGAAGGCACGTGGTAGCCTGGGCGGACAAAGGTGGCCACCCCTTAGCAGCACCTCCTCACTGACTGCTTCGGTGCTGCTACCTAACTCGGAAAACCGCTGTACAGTGTGGTTCGTGTCCTGGACCCGGTGGCTAAACTCACGCTGGGTGCGTGTGCGCCCAAGATGCCAAGAGGAGAACTGAGGAGAAGGGATTGCGGCGAGGCCACCTGGGGGTGATTTCTCCATTTCTGTCTGTCTGTCTCTGTCTTTCTGGCAAGCACAAGGGCCCTATAGCAAAAACCTCTCCAAAAAAAAAATTCAATAAAGATAAAAGCCCTTAAAGAGCGATTAAGCAAGTCAAGGCCCCTAGCCACGGAAGAGGGCCAGGAGCCCCACCGAGCTCAGGCACGCGGCAGCCGTGGCAGGGATCCTTTAGAGCCCCTGACCTCTCTCACCGTGGCACTGAATGTCGAGGTGTGGGCGGGGTGCTGGAGGGTTACTGGCTGGGGCCGACAGCATGCCAGGCCCAGGAGGGACCTGGAGACTGGCAGGGGGACGGCTATGGACTGCCCTTGCCCCGGCACCATCCCTGCGGGGAGGCAGGCCACACACGTGCGCAGACAGTGAAAGAAAGCCTGCCTGCTGCTGAGTGCGAGAGGGCCGTGGTACCAGCTGTGGACACCCCGATGGGAGCATGGGCGTCCCGCCCAAGGGCTGCATCTGGAGCCCGCGAGGGTGGGCCGTTGGGAGGAAGGGGCCCAGAGACTAGGGGCCCGTGGCGAGCCTGCCAGAGTGGGGTGCTGGGGGCAGGGGTCCCCTGGCCGTGGCAGAGGAGGGAGTTGCGCATTATACCAAATGGGCACCGTCACACTCTGTCCCAGGGACTTGCAGAGGAGAAACAGCCTTGGGCTTTTCAGACATGACTGTCTAAAGAAAGCTAAGCCGCGAAAAGCCTGTACCCATCAGGCACTCGGTGGCCCAGATCCCTTTTCGCCTCAAGGTCTGGGAGGGTCACCCCGCTCCAGCCAGCTGGGCTGACATGGCAGTGACTCAGGCCTCGGCCCCCTGCATGCGTGGAACATGGGTGCACACCGCGCCTGGCAACTCAGCCTGGAGGTGGCGTAGCTGAGGCAGGCCTGCGAGGCGCCTCTGTGGCAGGGACGGGCAGGCATAGGCTCACCGTCCAGACAGGAAGCCGGGCGGGCAGGGCCACCAGAGCACACTGCGGTGAGGCAGGCTGCCTCCCTGCGAGGGGGCACGGCCAGTGGGGGCTGCTGGGCTCATCTACCTAAGTCGGGGCTTTCAGGTGTGCTTTTCAACCTTCCAGGTCTCTGTTTTTTTTTTTGGAGAGATTTTCACTGTAGGGCGCATGTGCTCGCCAGACAGACAGAGAGAGACATAGAGACAGAAAGCGAGAAATCACCCCCCAGGGGGGATGGTCACGCCGCAATCCCTTCTCCTCCATTCTCCTCTCGGGATCCTGGGCACGCACGCACACGCGCCCGGCGTGAGTTTTAAGCCACCGGGTCCGGGACACGAACCGCGGTCAACTATGTGGGAGTCCAGCGACATAGCCATTACGCTAACTGCTGGTTCCCAGGTCTCTGTTTTTAAAGGCAGAGCATTTCCCAGACAGAGCTGGGGAAGGGGAACCAGCCACCGATCAGCCAGCCGACAGGGAGCAGGCAACCCCCAGGAGGGTGGGCTCCTTGGACGTGGGCCGAGACCTTGGGCATGGCTGCCCTCTCCTGGGGCAGTGGTTGGCCTGTGGCCCCTCCACCCTGGCGGGCGGGGGCACTGTGGCATGTGACCCCCTCCCCCTGCTGTCCACCAGGCTGGCTGCACCCTCACGCCCCCTCCCTACAAGTCACCACCTCCTTCCTGTTTGGGTGCAGCTGCGGCCACGGCAGCGGTGCCCGTGCAGGCCTCCCAGGTGCCGTCTCCAGCTCTCCCCAGCTCTCCCTGCAGCCCACAGACCCTCCAGCCCTGGCCCTGTGGAACCCACCATGGGATCTCAGGCCCCGGCCCAGCCTCTTGCCAGTCCCTGCTGCGGCCTTCCAGTCTCAGGGCCCCTGGACCCCAAACGTCTCCCACCTGGGTCTGTCAACTCTGCTTCCTGGCCTAGCCTGTTCTCAGGCCTCTCAAGAGCTTCCCTCGGAGGCCACGTCATGGGGGGCTGTCCCCAGGACAGAGACGCTCCTACTAAGGCAGGGGTAGGCCGGGGGGGGCGTAGCCGCAGCCCGGCGGTCCCAGGCAGGCACCCCTCAGGGCCAGGAGGGGAGTGCGAGGCCTGGCTGCCTCCTCATGGCCCTAAGCACTTGGGTCCTCTTGTTCCTCTGGGGGTATCTTGAGGGGTGCACTGGACAGTGGTACGGCCTGGAGCTAGCCCCTCCTTGGTGCCATTTCACTGCCGTAGGGCTGAGCTGGCCAGCAGCCAGCCCTACCGTGTGCTGGACAAGGCCAGGGACATGGCCACCTCCCGGCTCAGCCTGGCCTGGCAGCCAGGGCGGCCCCTGTCCTTGTCCCAGCCGTGGCCTGTGCCAGGGCAGACGGGGTCAGTGCAGCTGCCTCCTTGTGTGCCTGAGTCCTGGGCAGGCGGCAGGGCCCCACACCAGCCCCACCGTCAGCTGGCCACGGGACACAGTGGGACGCAGCCCCAGGACTAGCCACAAGGTCCCCTCGTCTGAGCCCCATCCAGGCACCCTCCATCCACCATCCCTGACAGTCAGCCTGCTCCTCGGAACGTCTTCCCAACCCTGACATCGCCTGCCGCCCACCCCGCTGCACTGCAGCTGGCCTGGCCTCTCCCTCTCTCCCGCAGCAGGAGCCAGGCCCGACCGCGGGCTGCCGGATGGACACAGCCCACTCATCCTCAAAAGCCTGGGGTCGGGGCACAAGACTCCGCGGGCAGAAGTGAAGGGCACTCCTTCAGCTGCGAACGTGTGACAGGCAGCGGGCGGCTTTCAGCAGAAGTGAGTCCCACGATACCTGGGGTGTGCTTACCCCGAGAGACTTTGTTCACATCTGGAGTTGGAGTCCAGCCAGCGCCCTGCTCGGGGCGGCAGGGCTGACTGGCGGGGCTGGGAGTCGGGTGGGGCAGGTGCCGGGCCCAGTGTCAGATGCCACAGAGACTGGCCTCAGGCCCGCAGGTGCCCAGTGCCGTGTGTGCCTGCTGCAGCCGCTGCGAGGGGGCCGTGGACGGTTCACCCACAGCGAGCTATTTCTCAATCTGGAGGTCGAGGGGCCGGCAGAGCTGGGGTCTGCTCCTCTCAGGAGGCACCTTCGTGCTTTGTCTTCAGGCTGGGAAGAGACAGAGAGAGCCAGAGAGCAGTAGGGCACGCTGACCTACCCCTCTTCCTGTAAGGCCCCTGTGGCCCAGTCTCCTCGCAAAGGCCACACCTCACACCATCACCTCAGCCGTGAGGGTTTCGACACAGAATTGGGGAGATGCAGGTGGCACTCCTGGGAGAGGGGCTGCTGGGAGCGGGTGTCCGTCCGAACGACCAGCGTGCATGTGGCACCTTTCAGGCTCCTGAAGCCCAAGGGTAGAAAAGATCGTGAACCAGGAGAGAGCGAAACCACTTCACGCAGACAGCGGGCACGTCCCGCGGCGGTGCTGGGAGAGCCAGGTCCCTGCCTCACACCACACAGCGGTCTGGTCAGATCACAAAGGGGAGGACCTGTGGGGCCCCCACGAGCAGCCACAGGGATGGCGTTGCAGCTTTGATGGAAGCATGTGTCTTAAGATGCACAAACATAAGAGAAAAAATGGACAAATTAGGCTTCACCAAGTTAATATCTTCCCTTCAGAGGGAACCAGCAGTTAGCGTAATGGCTATGTCGCTGGACTCCCACGTAGTCGACCGCGGTTTGCGTCCTGGACCTGGTGACTTAGAACTCACGCCGGGCGCATGTGCACGCGTGCCCAAGATCCCGAGAGGAGAATGGAGGAGAAGGGATTGCAGCGTGACCATCCCACCGGGGGGTGATTTCTCGCTTTCTGTCTCTCTGTCTCTCTCTGTCTGTCTGGCGAGCACACGCGCCCTATAGCGAAAATTTCTCAAAAAACAAAAAGCAAAAAAAAACAATATCCTTCAGAAAGTCAAAGGGCAGGGCCAACAGGTGGCATGGAGGTCCAGGTGCCGGGCTCCCTCATGTCCAGCTGTGGATTCAGTCCTGGGCCCAGCGACTTGAAATCCTGCTGAGTGTGTGCCCACAACCCAGGAGAAGTCAGGAGGGTGGCTGTAAGGTGGCACAGATGGCGCACTCCTGGGGGCCTCACTTCCCTTCTCCCCCCCCCCTTCCAACTAGTACACATGCCCTGAGGCAAAAACAACACGATTCCAGGGCACCCCATGCACGGCAGAGCTCACGGGGTAGGTCAGGGCAGACTGGGTACCCGGGACGTACAGAGAACTGCCGAAGCCAATATTAAAGGGGAACGGGGCCTGCCAGCGGCATGGCGTTAGACCCCACATGGCTGACTGCACGGTTCGAGTCCTGGGATTGGCAGTGCAAGAAGCACACCAGGCTCGTGTGTGCCCAAAATCCCCAAAGGAGGGAGAGGTGGAGGAGGGGTTGTAACGGGCTACCCCATGGGGTCGTGCTTTCTCACTTCCCTTCTCTTCCTGTCACTCCGTCTCTCTGGTAAGCTCACACACTCTAGCAAAATTTTTAAAAAATGCAAACAACCTACTCTGAAGATGGTCAAGACATTGGGATAGATTTGTCACCAAAGATCAGGGGCCAGCCAGGTGGTATGGTGATTAAGACACTGGGTCCCACGGCCAGCAAGTGGCATGGTGGTTAAAGGCGCTGGACTCCCACGTGGCTTACTGATTCAAGTCCTGGACCTGGAGGCTCACTCTCTCATCAAAATTGAAAAATTACGATAAACAAATAATTATTTTTAAAAATGTACTTGAAAAATAAGAAAGACACTGGACTCCCACGCGGCCGACTATGCAGTTTGAGTTCAGACCCGGCACACTGAAAAACACGCTGGGTGCATGTGTGTGCCCAAAAATTCCAAAGAGGAGAGTGGGGAAGGGGTTGGGGTGTGGTCGCCTCTCCTGGGAGCGATTTCTCACTTTCCCTCCTGTCCCGTCTCTTCTTCTCTCTGTCTCTCAGGTGAACACATGTGCCCTATAGCAAAACTGGGAAAAAGAAAAGTATGTTTCCCAAGAGAACTATGCAGGTGGCAAGCCCTAGAAAGACAACCGCCACGTGTTGTAGGCGGGGCGCCACGGCTGGAAAGCGACAGCTCTGAGTGCCGAGGTGTGAGGGCTGGAACCCGCGTGCTGTGGTGGGAGCACACAGCCGGCCGATGTGTGCAAACAGCACGGAAGTGCCTTAAATACAAAACCTGGGCCCGCCAATGACGCAGCCCTTCTGCCACTGTGCGTTCGCCTTGGAGAGGTGCAAACAAAGTCAGGACGGCAGGAGCGCACGTTCACGGTAGCGTCTGTACTCGCAGCCCAGCCCAGAGCCACACGTAGCTCACCCACGGCGAACGCCTGAGCTGGGGTGCGTGCACGCCCCACCCGAGTGCGTGAGCAGCAGGGCACAGCAGAGTTACTGCTGCAAACACGGCGGCGTGTGGTCGGTCTGGGCAGGGAGAAAGTGCCGGTACCAGCAGCCGCTGTCCCACTCTGCTCACACACAGCTCCAGGAAACACTCGGCGGAGCGGGGCAGAGGCCGTGAGCAGGGCAGGGCGCGACGGCTGTGACTGCAGAGTGACAGGTGTTTTGCTACCTTGATGAAACAGTGGCTTCTTGGGCACGAGTCGGAGGATCTTCGAAAAGTCCACAGAGAAGCACATCCTGGTAAAGCTGGGCGTGGGTTTCAAACGTTTGGCACCAAAAGAAACTGGTGCCTTCGATCTCTCTCCCACGACTGTCCGGAGCCCCCCACCTGTGCCAGGCTTGACCGCGCACGGCACCGGACGCCGTCTCAGTAAAGCTGTTTAAACGCGAACACTGAAAGCTCACACCCTCTGCCTGCATGTCTCACCGTGTGTGGGGCTCCCCAGTGCTGAAG